CACCGTCGCTGTAGGAGGGGTGATCAGGGGATCACATAATCAGTAAACTGTGATCAGTCCGTTTCTAACTTTAATACTTCAGATTTACAACTGTACTTCCTAAGGTAGTAATCAACCAAAGAAATTCTCGGTCGATTAAAACCCTGAAAATTTTTACCAAAAATCGCCTAATGGGGGCGATTTTACAGACTCTAACAGCAAACCCTTCTGCGGCGGGGTGAAAATATACTGATATCAGCACAAGGAGGCAATGAAACACAAATATTATATTCAGCAAACCACTGGACGTTGATTAACGTGAATGTTCTACAATCGTCCTGTCTATATCCGGTCTCTAGTGGGTTGGGCGAATCCAAAATGGTAAAAACAACGGGGGTGCTCTGAAAACACCCCCATTAGCACTTGGTACATTCCTCCTGATTAAATCAACCATAGACTGTAAATTGACATGGGAAAAAAAAAAAGAAATCGAGGGTGGACTCAGCACGAATCGACCAATAAGTCAACCAGTCGAATAGGACTTTACAGCCCTTGTACTTCCCATGCTGCACCAACACATGCAATGAAATTAAGTCTCAAAAAAGGCAACTACTGATAGAAAATACAGGTATAATATCAGAATCAGAAGGGGTTTTATTGCCATTGTTGATGAACAGGATTCACAGACTGGGAATTTGTTTTAACATGATGGTGCAACAATAAACAGAGAGTAATATAAAATACTAGAATAAAAACTAATAAGAGCATGCAAGAAATATATAAAGTGTATATAAAGTGTTTATATAAAAATATAAAAGGTTGTGTACAATGCTATGTATATCATCTGCAGAGTTAATTTAATCCACTGAAAATGTTCCCTTTTAGACTTCCTGAGTAATCTACTTTGTTTATGCTTTGTTTACATCTGCTTCCCAATGGGATTTTATGAACTCACAAACCAAGCTACAATTAATTTCTATTCTTTAAAGTGTGTGCATTTCTTTACATTTCTTTTTTTTTCAATCAGATAGTCTGAAGCTCACTAAATCCACCAGGGACAGAAGTGTATTCTTGGTCTCAATCTGCAAAAGGTTTGCAGATTCCCTACAGGCTCCGAGCTTCGAGCACAGCTATCAGCCAACAACAACTAGCACACCATGAATAGTTCAGGATGAGGAAGAGGTTGGGATCACTCCAACAAATAAAGCACCCACTAAGACTTGTAAACAATACCAACATCTACTAAACTCAGCATGAGCCTTCTCTCTGGTCAGACTGCTCAGGCCTCAGAGGGGTTTAACAAGCTCCACAAGGCCTCCAGCAGCAGACGGCCCCTCTCTGTGTTTGTGTTCCAGACAGGGGAGTCGCTCTGCATGACGATTTATTGACGCAAGATCCCCCCTCAGCCAGGACCTGCCACCGATTACTGCCTCTGGAGAGAGGGAGAGGGAGGCAGGGGAGGGGAGGGTTGTGTTGGGATGAGAGAGTTTGTCTGTGTGTGTGTTCTAGTTCTGGCTCCAAGGCCATAAACCCAGTTCCAAAATGCCAAGTAGCATGTCAACATGCCAGCCTTCGCCACCCAAGTTCAAGTCGGACAAAAGGGCCTTCAGTGCTCTAAAATGGTGGTTTGAGAATGGGAAATGATGATCCGTCATAAATGGAAAAAAGGGTTCAGCAACACTGCGCAGACAGGAGGGCGACAAGGGGAAAATGAACTGCTAACAGGAGGGCAAATTGAGTCCTGAAAGCTCCATTCTTGGTTTCAGAGCTTCTCAAGGTGGAGAAAAGTCTGGCGGGAGAGATGTTTTGGCTCGGTACCAAATGTCAACAGACCTTTTTCTGCCTATTTTCAGTGTTGGGGAGAATTTGGCTTCAAAACGAATCAGGAGAAACTTGTTTTCCAAAAAAGGAACATGTTTCTGCCTCAACTGACATGTTTTGAGGGTGTAAAAAATTCTCCCTATCACAATGAAACAGTTCAAATGAGTTCAAAATCTCGCAGACAGCTGTAAATTCAGGTTTGGGGCCATTTCTTTCATCACTTCTGGAGTTTATTTTTGGCCTTTGAAGCACAAGAAAGTCAGATGACGTCTATGAAACAACCCGTAAAATGACAAGCATACCTCCGGACTGACGGCAGCGCGATTGTAATCCAACGCCTTCGGGGTTATTTCAGAGGCTTCAAAAGTTCTGGATTAAAAAACACATGGGAGCTGAGAATAGACAGAGCAATAAAATGATCTAAAAAGGAGGGGAATAAAAGGAAATATGTGTCCCAATCCAAGGTTCCAGTTGCATAACACAATGTACGACAGAGAAAAGAGAAAAAGAGGAGAGGAAGAAAATAAAAGCGATCAGGATGACCTAAAACATCCTTTCTGACGCACACCCTTTTGGCTGAGGACTACACCATGTCCTTACTCGCAGTTCAAAAGAAAAGAAAGTGATGCCAGTAACCCAGATTGTGCCGCACAGGACCACAACATTTAATCAATGGCAGTGACATCATTCTGTTTAATAGGACCAAGACTAAACTAAAGCATGATGGGTAAAGATGGGGACAATTGTCCCTTTGTCCACGGTGATCTGCAGTTGAGTAAGAGGAAAAGGCAGATCGGCTTCATGGTAATGACTAAAGAAAAAGAGGGTTTTTGAGTCTAATCAGCCACATGGAGAGCTCCCATTGGTGGAGGTCAAGCACAGCAGTGAATCCATTTCTGAGCATGCAAAGAGGAGCTGACTGTGAAATATAATCTCTGTCCAGAAAACAATGACACATGTGAAGAGTTACTCAAAAGGACATTTAAGCTCAGTCAGGATTTTACAGATGAATTGTTTCTTTGGCGAGAGCGTCCACTTTACATTTCAAAAGAATCGAGACTCAATATTTATTCGCTCCCCTATATTTAAAATTAGAAGAAAAATAAGAAGTCCAACAGGATCAAGTTGATTGTGATAGAGGTTTTATAGCGATATGCGTGGAAAACTTCATAAAATTTTTACATGCAGTTCACTTACATGCTGTCAACTGTACATCCTCTGTTTTTAAAAGTGCTACAAAAATAAAGTTATTATTATTTTATTATTATTAACTCTTATTAAATATATAATTTGTCTATATCACCAGCCCTGTAAACCGCACATCTTTGGCTTTATCTGTCTTGAGTTTGGATAGATTTGTAAAACTATGGTGTAGGGCTGGACGATAAACCGAAATTTACTGATACTGAAATTTACGACAGTAACCAACGTCATTTTGCCCATATCGGTATATATTGGTATATAAAAGCTGGTTTTGGATGTGTGTAGGTAGGCTATGGTTTCATGTCCCTTTAAGACCCTGTCCTACGTCAGAGACGCGACTCCACCCCATCCAGTCCAAAGAGGGAAAGACAGGTGAGGAGATGGAGGACAGTTCAACAGTTGTAGCGGCTGAAGAAGACGATGTTAATGTGGGAGGGGGTGAGCGGCTTGTGGAGTAGTTATTGTCCATGTATCGTTATCGAGGTGAACTGCTCAATATGTTGTGATATTGATTTGAGGCCATATCGCCCAGCCCTACTTTGCTTTAATTTTGAAGTGCACAACTTCTGGTATTTAAGAGACTGAATATAAACAGTGAGAGTACTAATGTTCACTTTTATGGTCGCCTAAAGAAGCACAAGCTCTTGAAAGTCTGTTTTAAATTGAAAAATACTACAGCTAATTCACTAGCAGCTTCTTCTCTTTCTTCTTTATTCTTCCCCCATTCTATGACGTGCTAACCAGTTTTTAAAGTAGAACCGTATCCTTTTTTAAGCACCAAAGTATGATTTCATATTTAAAAAAAGACAGTTATTGTCAATAGAGGTATATCGGGACAGCTTTCCTTCTATTCTACATTAATACCTTGTCCTCGCGCAGCCGTTTTCTTGATTGAAAGAGGATGTAAACCTTTGAAAATCGACCACAAAATATAATTACCGCTCAAGGGCACCAATTCAGCCCAGCAGTGAAAGTCCGTGCCCTAAATAGAGGTTGACCCTTCGTTGCTTACTTACTTCCACTTTCTCCTCTCAACGTTTTCTGTCTCCTTTCAGCTTCCTTAACGAGTAAAAGCCAAACGGCACAAAATATAGAGTATAAAAAAAAAAAAAACGTCTTAAAGCAACACATTAAGCCAATGCTGCGAGATATTTTCCAAATGTCAACTCAATCATACTCAAACTCTCTCCAGACGATTGAAAAGTCCTTGAAGAAAATGAAAAAGAAATCAACACAGCGGGTCTTAGTGTATTTTCTGAGGTGTAAAAAAAAAACATGCGTACGGAAAAACAAACTGAATCAGAATCAAAAGGTTACACTGGCCGTGTCCGTCTGCTGACATTAACTTCAAACAAGTTAACAAGGTTCGGGGTGATCGTTTCATAAACACTTGAAATATGTTATATTGCTCTGTTTTCTAAAGAGGCGTGCAAACTCAGAATTAAATGGTTTATTATCATAGCATTAAGCCATAAACTGAGAGACCATCGAGTGTACTGCATGCATAAATAAGGGCGCTCGAGGGCCTGATTGTTTACCCCATTTTCCAGCCATACTCTTCTATAAAACACCACAATGAAAACAACACTAAGGAGTCTGAATATGAGGGATCTGCTTATCTGGAAGTATTAATAGTCATCACTTCTATGTGTTCAGAAAAGACTCTTAGATATTCCTGCTTCTTTTTTTTTCCATCTTACCTGATCGAGTGTGAGAGCTCATTGTTGTGGTCGTCCTTGCCAGGCAGACCTGGCGGAGGAGGCGAGCTGAATGTTGAGGGTGTCAGTGCACCTCTGTGGTGGCTGGAGAGACCACCATGTGCTTCCCGGCCAAGTCTCTGCTGCCAGGTGGAGGCGTCAGGCCGAGGAGGGACAGAGGAGGGTTGTTTCTTAAGGCTTCATCACTCGGAGCCGCAGGTGGAGACCTCAGCGGTGGATTTCTTCCAGCAAACAGTCCGGCTGTGAGAGGGCAGAGCAGAAAAAAAAAGATCTTGTGATTTGCATGAGGGATTGGGAATAAGTGCTTATCTCCATAAAAACAAACAGCTTCACTTAATGCATATATTTAAATCTTTGCTGATGGTTAATGCTGTACGTTTTAACTCCCGTGTGCCTCAATATTTTGAATCCCTAACCAAATCAGGTACGATCAACAGTGGATAAAAAACTAGCCGCTCACCTGATTCAGCGTGCTTTTTAATGAACACTTACCCTTCTCAAATATCTCGTTTGATTAAATTAAATATTTATCAATGCAGGCTTATATAAGTCTTTAATGTGAATGCACAGCTGTCAGCTTCGTGGTTATAAAGGCGAAGCTACCAGACACAACCAGTGAAAAAAAGTCTTCATGTTGACATTCACAGTACACACATCTAGTGTCATATTAATAAAAGATCTGGGGAATTCTCTGTACAGACGAGACGAGGCTGAAAAGCAGTAAGGTTTAGAGCTTCAGGTGGAACTTGATAAAAAAAAAAAAAAAACATACGTGGCTCTGTTGTGGAAACCACTGCGCATCCACGACTGTATTTTATTTATTTATTATTTTTATTTTTTATTTTATTTTATTAATAATAATAATAATAATAATAATAATTCATTTTATTTGTACAGCACTTTTAAAAACACTCAAAGACGCTTTACATAGTACGTAAAATTCAAGATAATAAAACAAACAAAAACATTTTATTTTATTCAAACGTGAGTGCAACACAAGAAAGTAAACTGAAACAAACAAACAAACACAACAAATGCGAATATTCAAAACAACAATGACAACAATCAAAACAAAAAAAAATACTATTAAAAATAATGTAGGGCTTGACAGTGCGACCGTTTCACTCACATTTGCGACTAAAATTCGATGTGTGTGAATTGTAAAATATATTTAGGGGCACATGTGCGCTTAAAAAAAATCAGTCAAGGCAACGAATGTTTTTTCATGTAAATACTGCAGTGAAGTTAGTTTTTGGTTGGATATCTGATGGACATTCACCGCGGATCTACCGATGACTTCTCACTCTCCATAACCAGGAATAAGGGACCACCAGTAAATTACTGGTTAATGTTCACAAAAAAGGCTGTTTTCCTCCAATAGCTTTTATGTCATGTGACCAAAAGAACTAAAATTGATTTCAAATAATATTAATAAGGTCAGACAATAAGACACGCCTCTTTATTTCCCTAATCTGTCCTCTAAAAAAATTTTGTGTTAAACTTAAAGGGAAATTTTGAACATTTCCTTCAATATCTTCCATGTCATGTGACCAAAAGAACTAAAATTGATTTCAAATAATAGTGCTGACTTATGCCGACCATTAAGACACACATTATTTGATCAATTTTCATTGTGCCCCTAAAGTTCTTTGAGTGCTCCTTACTTTTTCATCTTGGGAGCATGTGTGAAAAAAGTTAGTGCCAAGCCCTGTAATGAGAACCCAACATGCCCAAAAGGAGTCGGATGAAGCATTACGCTTATTTAAACTTATACCCCTTCTCCAATACTCAATTAACAGTCAGTCTCTTCAACATTTTTACATTAAATTTACAATAAATAGAGTAAATAAACAAGAACATAAATCATTTATGAAAACACCTGATGGCTAAAGCCCTTCTTCCTCCCTGTACCTGGTGAGAACCATGTGTTTAAAAACCGCACAATGCAAAAAGGAAACCACATGTAAACACGATTCAGAAACAACGGAAGACGGCACTTTAATTCAGAGGAAGGAACAATAAAAGCTACACGACATGGATGATAGGTAAGTTCCTGAGCAAAACTGCTGTTGAGAAAGGGCCTTTTTCAGGGGGAGGCCTTGAAAACTGCAGCATGTCAACACTAAACCATATTCTGCATGTTTAACATCTGCACAGCCAAGTACAAAAAGAGTCCGAATACGAGACCTTGCAACTTCGAGCAAATTCAGACAAAATTACGACAACATTTTACTTTCAAAACTCCAGCAGCTGAATTGAAGTGTCTGTTTGCAGAATATAAAGGGTTTCATTTGAAGCATCAGGATTAGGGTGTTTACACAATGCAGATGCAACTGCTTGTTTTGCAAATTCCCATCAATGACCACACCTAGTCAGGCTTTATCGAAATACAGAGAAAAAAACAAACATGCAAATTCCTCCAAAGTAAACTGTGCTCGCTCGTAATGACACCGCTCAATCTCCACTCCCACAGCTTGCTGGGTCAGCTGTTGCCGTAAGTGCATTAATAAAAGGCGCTTCCCTGCAGCATAGCCCGTAATGAAATGCAAACAGAGGCTTCCTGAAGGCTTAGACTGACATCAGAGTCCACAACAGACGAGCAGCAGGGAGAAAACTTTTTCATACTGTCTGGTGTGTCTGTGTGTTATGCAATCAAAACTGCAAGGAGAGTGTAAACACACACACAAACACACACACGGGGAAGCCTCTGGCAATTCAACCCAAACTGACAGAAGCTCAGACTCACCTCTGTCACATAACAGGTGTCAACAGAGCTGAACACAAACAAGTGGTAATGAGATCTGCAATCAATCACTAGAAAATACCACAGAGGCCACAACAAAGTGAGTACGCGCTGCCTTCGTTTCTCCCCCTCAAAGCAAATACAGACACAAACACACACACTCGTAGCCTCTTTGTTGTTGCTGTTACTTTTTGAGCTGTTGAACTCAATTACTGTCAAATGAATGAGTTCACTGGAAAGAAGGTGCAAGCGTCCCCCCGTCCAGGGAGAGTCTCATGGAAACGCGTTCCTGCCAGGATTGTGCGGAGTCTTACTTCACTTATCAGGAATTATCGTAGAAGCAAAACAATCCCATGAGTAAATGAGGGCCGGCTTATGCGTTTGTGCGGTATGTATAGAATAAAAGGAGTCACGCTGGAGGAATGTTAAGATAGTTGAAGTTTTTAATCTAGTGGAGAATTTGCTCGAGTGTTTCCTCCGTACTCCCAGAGGAAATACACAGAGTGCAAGAGGAGATATTCCCATAACAACACTTTAAAGCGGCTACTCCGATTGAGAAATATCTGAGAGTAGATCAATCAGACAGCATGTTTTACAGTTATTATACCCAACCTTAGATCGCATCAGCAACAGCATGAGTATGAATGGAAAATAGAGAAAAGAGATGCTACATATTTGAGTTTGTTCTACAGTGTTAGCTGCATTAATCAGACGCATTTAATAGGGATGCACCGATCCGATATTTGGATCGGATATCAGCTCCAATATTGACAAATTAACCGGATCAGATGTCTGATGGATGACGCCGATCCAGCGTTCCGTTCCAGTCTTTTTTTCTTTCAATTAATGTTTCTTTTAATACATGTAAGTCTTACTTCTTTTTGCTGTGTGCTAATGTGAAATTTGTTATTTGTAATTAATAATTTTAAGTAGATTTGTATCTGTGTCAATTTTCTACAACGCTAATGTCAAAACCTGAAGCCTTCACTCACAGGGCAAGGTGTACAGTTCATTCATTCAACAGTTGTATTGAATCGGTTTCGGATATTGGGTGATACTCTCAGCCCAGGTATCGGTATCGTATTGGATCAGAAAAAAATGGATCGGTGCATCTCTAGCAGTTAATCATCACAAACTGGTGACACTTGCTAATATGTTTTTTAACACACATTTCTTTTATTTCTTTCAAGATGACTACATGCAAAAAAATCGATCAGTTTGGCAACCTCGCCGTTTGAGAACTTTTTATTGATTGTGTTGAACATAAAGGGACAAAAAACTGTTTTAATGTTCCTGATCTAGGGATGGGCGATAAATCATTGTTCACGATATAACATCAGAAAAATCCTTCATGATTAATATTTGCCATCTCATGATAAATATGAAAAATGCAAGTTGATGACGTAAGTGCGAGCAACGACAACAAACATGGCTGAAGGTGGTGAAGAGGACGTTTCTGAACAGCTTGTTAATGAACGAGGCTCAACATGAGGGATTTCCTTCAAGATTGGGGCTTAGATGAGTACAATCAGGTATACCTGACATCAGACAGTGGATCTGCTGCTGTTCACTCTGTGCAGTAAGAGTTTTCAACAAATGTTGGAAATATTTTCACGTGTCAGATTTGTTTGATGTCATTAGTTTTCTCCATAACCTACCACTCAAACTTGTGGTTAAGTATCTTATTTGACTATTCCAACTGGTATTCTCAAGACAGAATGAGTCAAAAATATAGATTGGAATTATAATATTTTTATCTGGACTTTTATCGTTATCATGAAAATATCATATCATGATAATTTTTTTAGCCCATATCACCCATCCCTACCCTGATCCACTGCAGGCTAATTTCTTAATCCTCTGTGCAGATGATGAATCTCTGGCAAGTATCTGCGCTCATGCGGTGGGACTGCAGTCCTGAGCGTTGTGCAAAGGGAACAAAGTTGAGGTTTTGTCATGCCTGATGTGGAGTTGACAGGTTCTTCTACATGCCACCTACATCATTGTCAAAAGTAGAAATGCATGAACAGCAAAGGTGAAAGTAGAAATGGATCACTTCTACACATGTACTCCTGACCCCTCATAATCAGGATGTGTCTTTCATAAAGGATGCGACTTTATAGGCAATCAAAATTCAGATATTTCCTGTTTTTAAGACACAACGAGACGGATCTTCCTATTTAAAAAAAAGTATATTCTAACTCTTTTCACCTACTTTTAACCACTAATGCTTCCTCTCTTTTAAGCATCGGTCAAATAAGATTGTAAGTGATTTTATTTAATATATTCCAGTAACATTTGACAATCTGATAAACCATACAAAGACAATCAAAACAACTCTTAGAGCAAGTGTGGTCTGTCAGCGTTAATCCTCAACTCTTTGCACCTCCAAAAATCAGCAGATTTACATGTTTATATGCGACTAACTCACACAGGTGTAGCTTAAATGTCGCAGGTGATACTTTTACGACCGGGGAGGTTGATGGGTTTGCTGATGTACGATGTGCCACAAAAATCCCTCTGTGTCAACTGGAGGGCAGCGGTGCTATTCTCAGATCCTGCCGCCTATTTCTGTCAAAGGAGCCGTCTGTCACCGGACTGTGCTTTTACAGTTTGTCACACGGCGGACAGCAGTGACCACAGGCACTCAGTCTTCTCACTTTTTCTCTTTGCCGCACACAAACAAACAAAACAAACACACCTAATGTGTCTCAGAGTGAAGACATGTCTGTCCCCCTTTTTTTCTGACACCATCAACCTGTTTTTGTTTTGTTTTTTTTCTGCTGGGACTCAACTGTGCAGTTTTTTATGTTCCCTTCAAATGATCATTGTTTCCTGTAATCTTAACTTCCCTCTGCAGTACTATAAAACTGAATCTTCATGCAGCACTGCAGGTATTTGAACCACAAAAACTACCACCTGCCTCACATCTCATTTCCCGACACTTGAGATTGGACGAGATTTATTGTTGTCGTGCAGCAAAGTTTGAACCTGGGATCGTTACTTGGCGCTTGACAGGGAAACAACTCTCAGGACCCCTTAATGGACTTCATTTCCCAAGCACTCCAAGCGCTGCCGGGAGTAATCACGACGGCATAAAAATAACATGTGGTCAGGCAGCGAGCAGTAAACAACAATTAAGAGACCCCTTGCATAGCTCATGAAATGAATCATTGAAAATGCACTTGTGCCATGAAGACAGCTTCAGCCTCTCAGCTCTAATTGACTATGAATTATTCAGCTGGAGAGCGAGATTAGTCTATGACAGTATGCTGCTGATTGACGTGTTCCTGATTTTCTTTGTTGCCGGCAGAAATAGTCGAGTATTTACAGTGAGCAACAGAAGCTTGAAAGGAAAATCCCCGGAGGAGAATGATAGCATCTCGCTGCTTTTACGTGCAGGGACAGAATAAAGTGACGTGTCGACATTCTGGTTCGTTCGATTCAGGGCGTCCTCCTCTTAAAAATAGGAGGTGTGACAGAGGTGTCGTGAGGTTAGAAGACAGAGGAGAGAGAGAGGGTAAGAGTCTGATTTAACACGAGAGAACCTCAAGTAACATGATGCTGTGCTGCTTGATCATGTTTGCAAGTGAACGAGGCCGGCTATGACCGCAGGACATCGCATCAATCAGCTGTCGGCTCAACGGGGACAAGAGGAGGAGAGCGCCAGCAGAGTGATCGATTTTCTTGATGCAGAGCTTTGACAGCGTGGGGACTCAAGCTTTTTTCTTATTTTGATTGCTTTCTTTATCTCCTCTTCTTGTGTTTTTGTCACTTAGTTCAATCTGAGATTTCAGAAAAGAAGGCAAAGGAAAGAGGTTCAGAAACCGCTCTAACAGATAAACTTCTGATGTCTTTTAAAGTCATACAGGACCGGAGGCAGGAAGCAGTTCGCCTCCTGCTAGCTTGTTTGTCGATTGTTTTGGTATGAGGCCAATATGCAGGTCCAACAATAACTCGCAGGAGTAGCAGAGCTGGATATACTGGATATATACTGGAGTTGATGCTTATTACTTCACCTAAGATGTGCTTGGATGCAAATGTAGATGACTAATTCATCTAAAATTTGTCAAACATTTTTACAAAATACCCGGATGAGCGCTTGTTTGCGTTGTTAAGCTGTTGGACAAATTGTTGTGTTTTTGTCACTTAGATTAGTTGGAGGAGGTTCAGAAACCGCTCTAACAGATAAACTTATGATGTCTTTTACAGCCATACAGGACCAGAGCAGGAAGCAGTTCGCCTCCTGCTAGCTTGTTTGTCGATTGTTTTGGTATGAGGCCAATATGCAGGTCCAACAATAACTAGTTAGGGTAGCAGAGCTGGATGTACTTGTACTAGGGCTGGGCGATAAACCAAAATTTACTGATACCCAAATTTACGACAATAACCAACGTCATTTTGCCCATGTCAATATATTTGGTGTCAAAAAAAATACATATATAAAAGTTGTTTTTGGATGTGTGTAGGTAGGCTATGGTCTCATGTCCCTTTTAAGACTCTGTCCTACATCAGAGACGTGACTCCACCCCATCTAGTCCGTAACAAAGAGGGAAAGACAGGTGAGGAAATGGAGGACGGTTCAAAAGTTGTAGCAGCTGAAGTAGACGAAGTTAATGTGGGAGGGGGTGAGCAGCTCGTGGAGTAGTTATCGTCTATTTATCGTTATCGAAGTGAACTGCTCAATATATCATGATATTGATTTGAGGACATATCGCCCAGCCCTAGGCAGGAAGCAGTTCCCCTCCTGCTAGCTTGTTTGTCGATTGTTTTGGAATGCGACATAAAGAGTCAGCTAGAGTAGCGGGGCTGGATATACTTGTATTCATGGAAACAATCAGTCATGGGGTTATTTTACCTAATCGAGCAACACAGTACAAACACAGCAGCAGAAAAAACACGATAAAAAAACAGACTTGGATGGCAGTAAAGAGAATAAATCAGAGATACTCGCCTCATCGTGAACATCACTTTGCCTGCTCGCTGTGAATATTCTCAGCTATTACCTGTCTTTGTGAAACAAATCAAAACATCAGCACTCACTACTTTTGTTATTCCAATAAGTCAATTTATACGACGCGTGGGAAGGCTGCATCATCTGTCCTTACTGCTCTATTTTATCTCTTTAAGATGAGCCCAGCAGTGGTTATTAAACCTTTTTTCTGCAGATTTATGCGAGTCTTTTATATTCCGGCGCTTTTGTCACGCTTCTTTTATACCTCCACCTACACCTGTGAGCCTGTAGTCCTAACCTCTCCTCTCCTTCTGCTTTTCTCTGCAGTTTAAGATCTGAAATATCCTTCATGAGACTGAGTTATGCATCCCAGGCAAGAAGACGGCACAGAGAGGAGACAAAAGGGGTTTGGTGTAAATGGGACACCAGCCGCTACAACTCTGAGGGGAGATATTACCCATAACCACTCCCTAATCTTTCTCTATCACTCTCTCAGCAGGAGTTTATGATGACTGAGTGATGAAGGCTTATTACTTTATCTGAGATGTGCTTGGATGCAAATGAAGTTGACTAATTTGTTAGAAATTTGTTGAACATTTGTAACAAAATACCCGGATAAGCGCTTGTTTGCGCTGTTAAGCTTTTGGACAAATTGTTGGACATGTGAAGCCAAACGAAGACAGAGCGGATACAGCCGAACAGATCACTTCAGCAGACTTGTTTCAAGAGCCTAAAACCTCTGTGTCTTTCTTCAGCTATGCAACACACTGTTTGCACAGCTGCTCAGTAAAATATCAATAAAGCTCTGCAGGAATATACGACGGAAACCTGCTGCAGGACACGACAGCAACGTGCCTCTAATTTCACTTTATCGAAAAGTTGCGGACAAATTGGCTAAAATGCATCACCTGCATTCAGTCCTTAACTTAAAGAGCTGCACCACACATACCGTGAGTCACAGTCTCTGTGTGGGCTGTAGATCTCCGACCTTCTCATCATCTTTAGAAGCAAAGGAAGGAAAGGACCAGAAGTTTACGGTTGGTCGTCTCGTACATGAACCGGCTGAACTCTGAGCCATCTTTGAAATTTCAGTCGGGGAGAAAATGTTCAAATGAGGCTTGTTTATCCTGTTTGTTAGCATTCCTGGGAAACCAATAGAAAAATGTCGGGTTAGGAACTCAAATTGTTGGCCTCGAGTTGTTGCACCTTATTCTTGACAGGGATAACAACTTTAACATTTCTTCTTCTGTGGAGACCCGGAGGAAGCAAGCGAAAAAAAGTGTGATTCTGTTTTAAAAAACAAGAAACATCACTTTTCTTACCTCCCAAAACTTTCAAATACTTCAATAGTAAAACTTACTTTCTGCCTGTTCTTTGCTGTTAAAAGCTATAAGGAGCTAAAATAAGGATGTAACACACCTGGACTTGACTTATAGGTCAGTAGATCAATATCTACACCCCTGTTACTCCTCGTCTGCCCTGTGGACTAAACTAAAGGAGAATGGTGGGCTCTGTCTCTCTTTAATCATCAGAAATGTTCCTGAGTGACTCATTTTATGAATTATCTGAACAGAAATTTATCATCTGACTAGAAAAATGCATTTAAGAGTCAAAATAATGACACAGCCAAACATGGGATCATAGGGCCAAATGCGGCTAACACTAGCAGAGCTAGCACCACCAACATCTGGTACTTTCTGCAGGTTGATATGCACGAGTCTATCTTATTACACTTCAATCTAGTCACGTAAACCACACACAATTTATTCCTAACTGCCAAACCAACTGTGCTAGGGTGACCATATGTCCTCTTTTACCCGGACATGTCCTCTTTTTTGGGGGGCTGTCCGGCCTTTTCCAGTTTTGTCTGGGGAAGATTATGAAACCCTTTAAATGTCCAGGGTTTTGGATGTAAGTTTCAAGTTTGTGTCGCGTGAACTTACTGAGTTAGAAGTGCTTAAAAGACACTCGATCTGACCTGAAATCTCTCAAAATTAACTACACACGACTCAGTGACTCCGCCCCCACGTAGTCATGTCCATTCAGAAAATGGTCACCCTAAACTGTGCTTGTTTACATCCTGAGAGTAGAGCATGAGTGTATTATGAGAGTAAAGGCACAACAGCTCAGACCTAACATATGACAGCCATAGCAACACACATCCCAGCTGTGTGTAGCTAGCAAAGCGGAAAAGCACTTTGTGTTTGCATGGTTGTGTATTTGAAGCCCCTCCTGTGTGTTCCCACGCCATTCCACTTCCACCTCTACAAAGTAATGTGAAATAAAACACCTGAAAACCACTATTAAACTGTGGTATAGCTCAGTAAAGACATAGTGATGGAGGAACTTTAGCACTTTGTTGAATCTGTACGCAGCTTTGGATGGCGGAGGTCTCTTCCGCTCTTCTCAAGATTCGGGCCGCCTTGTAATCCAGAAAAAAAAATAAAGTCACAGCAGTGATACCCACAATGCTGTAGATGTTAATAGACAAACAAACACTTTTGTGTTGTTTCCCTGGCAACAGAGACCTGTGTATTCTGTGACCAATAAAAAGCAGGAAGTAGCTTCTTTCCGTGTAGGTTGCCAAGTCCTGTCAATGACAAAAGCCCACTCCACTTCCCTTTCTTTGTTACCCACACTCTCCTAATGTCAAAGTCCCTCTTTAACTCATGTATTGTTTTAACTTTCTCTCATCTGAGTGTCATCCAGCTGTATTATTTATCCACCTCTGAGTATCATGACTTTCCATTTTGTCCCTGAATGACTTCAGTTTTCTCTCCTTCAGGCCGAGCTTTCACAGACGCTTTTTTATCGCTGAGAGCCAACAAATGAGAGAATATTCCTTCACATGATCAGACAGCTGAGCGAATGCATTATTAATGGAAAGGAAGCGCTGCTGTCCGACCTTAAAACTCTCCAATGATTTCACGTAAAAACACTCAAGAAAAGAAAGAAGTAGTTCCTCTCAATTTGCCTCAAGACTTACTGTTCCTCGTGGTTCTGAGAAACCTGATTTTCTACATTAGAGCTCCAAAAGAAAACAGGATACTGAGGTGTGTATAAATCTATCGCTATAATTCACTAGCAGTCTATTATTAAAGCAAATGTTTTAAACACAGAGACACGTAAAAATATAACCTTGGGATTAATTTTTAAATCCCCAAAAGAGTAAAAGATGAATAATTCCTGGATGATTCAGATTTCTTCAAAAAGGGGGGTAATTGTTGCCACTGATCTAACAGGATGACATGATAAGCGGGGGGTCGGGCGGCGGGACAGTTTGCACAACCCTGCTGGTCGAGTGTGCCTGCGCACCACAGGGTCCTGTCATCAAGCTCGTACCCAACACGGCAGTGCCATTAATAGACTCAATTAGTGACCATTAGCGTGACATCCACAACATGTCCACAAACAAGGATGTCTTTCCAAATTGCCAACCCCTCCAACACTTGCTAACCGAGCTCCAGGACCTGGGATGAGTTCAAAGTCAGGACAAGGTCCGGCAAAGCACAAAGGAGCTAAAACGGGTTTATTATTGGAGCTGTGAGTTATAAGGGGCTGAATCTGGGAGAATGATTCGCAGCCATGAACTCATTGGGCGGCCGCAAGGATCAACACAAGGATTCATCAAGCCTCAAATCACATCAGTTGAGGCTGAGAGCCTCTGTATAGCTGCCCATTAAATGCTCTGTGTACTGCTTTGAATCTTCCTCTTGTCTACTTTTACTGCTTCTCTGTCCCCTGGCCAATATCCAGCTTCCTGTCTGTTATTAAGTTGCACAACAGCAAATCTAATGAGAAAGACAAAGTGAAGACTGATTTATCTCAGCGGCCATTGTGTCCTATGTTTACTTAATCCAGAAGTAAAATAACAAGATTTGAGCTGGCAGTGGTGTGTCCAAATATTTGGTCGGGTTAGAAGATGGGCACTTGGCAGCGAAACAGATTTCCCAAACTTTGATTCAAACTGTATCAGTGAATCCTCAAACATTGCGTGTAATGGAGAGACAAGCAGATGAACAGGGACTGAGAACAAAGATGCAATAATATGCTGAACACACTGTGTTGAAGGGAAGACCCTGCCAAGAAGCGTACCAATTCTTGCTGTGTGAACGCGTCTATGCGTTGCACTGTCCCGTCACCTTATTTGTCCCCAAGCGCAACACTGCCATTAATAGACCCCATTAGTATCCATTAGCGTGACAACATCCACAAAATGTCCACAAACAAGCGGGCTTTACTGATGCCAGCTTGTGCTAAATGATGGGAGGAAGTTGGAAAGTCAGGCCAGGGCCCTGACAAAGCACAATGCAACTGAGCTAAATGAGCTTATTAATGCGATTACAAGAGGCAAACTCAGAGACGAGAAAAGAACAGGAATTAAGAGTTACAAAACTTTGGAAAACTTTCAGCTTTGCACTCTGAAGAGCTGGATTTGACTCTGAAAGGAAAATATGTCAAAAAAGAAACAAGAGCATGACAGGGAGGATGCACAATCTTCTCTGTTAGATACTTTAACACGCAGACGAGCTTAAAAAGTTCAATATCGATATCAGTCTGATATCAGCCAAAAAAAAAGAGATTATATTGGACTGCATCTAAAATCTCCGATATAAATCTCCACATCATGCTCGGACCGCAGAAAGTGGAAATGAAGGAGTAGCAAGGGCAGTCAGGAGTTTAGTATTTAGTAGTATTTAGTATTGAAATGGATAGTATATATCCACTTCAAAAACACTGATATTGGCTTTTTAGAGCTGATACTGATACCCATAAGTTCATTGCACTAATAATCAATATTTAAAGCCAATATGCATTGAAAGTGCAATTGAAAAACTTGTGTGAGATAGTGTGGAGGGATTTATTTTGTTGGTAACCTGATGTTACAGAAACTGTAACTCCAGAAGTTCCTGCAGCAAAGGTGAGTCACAGTTTTTACAGAGAGAGGCTGAAAGTACGGTGGCCCTGAGGTGCAAAATACAACACCAAATAAGAAAACGCAACAACATTAACCACTGAGTTTTGTCTTTCTGTGTTTTCGCTTTTGCCATTGTGTTTTCTTATTTGATGTTGTGTTTTCTTTTTTGTTTTGTTTTCTCTTTTATTGTTGTGTTTTATTAATTTGCCATTTTGTTTTCTTATTTGCGTTGTGCTTTCTAATTTGCCATTTTGTTTTCTCTTTTTGTATTGTTTTCTTATTTACTGTTGTGTTTTGTGATTTCTGTTGTGTTTCTCTTTTTGTTTTTGTTTTCTGATTTGCCGTTGTGTTTTGCACCTCAGGGCCACCGTATCTAAGGCTTCAGACTGACTCCACAGTAGAGTCTGATGCTTCTGGTAACACTGTGTTCACCATCGATTCTGCACATTTGATCTGTCTGAATATCAAAAAATGCTAATAACTTTCTTTAGATGTGGTGCTTCATACTTTCAGTGGCTGTTCCTGATTCTTTATTTGCATGGTGCAGATGAGACTGCACCAAAGTGTCTGAACAACATCAGGTCTTTACATTTTTCACAGACATTGTCAGCGCTTAAGTCCTTCAGAGTCTGTGCTTTTCAAATTGGAGAACACTAAAAAAGTTCTGCTTTTAAAAAAAAACTAGCTGAATTGAATAATGAACGTCTGACTACATTAATCTCTGCGACAAAGCGAGCTGCGGATGAGGAGCAGGAATTAAACGAGGCGTCGCACAAGAGAATTTTAATTGGTGAGACATAATGAAGTGGTAAAAGGTGACTGCGGCAGCGTGGATTTGACTGTGTGGCGTACACATGCGGTGATGAGAAAAGCTGTTTCTATACAAGTAACATGCCGAGAATTAGA